CCCCCTGTATGTCTGTCTGTCCCGCTCTCGTTACGGGGAAAAACGGCGGAATATATAGATACTTTTTTTTTTGTATCTCGTACGATCGTTCCTTCCGTTGGCTCGCCTGTTCGTTGGTGGTTCGTTCAGTCGGGGGAGGGGAGCGAAGCGGGGTTGCGCCGGGAGTGCTATTCACACAAAATTAACGGAGACTTCGCGCGCGAAACTCGCGGGCGACTCGCAGCTTACATGCTAAGCACCCCCCTTTGGGGCGAAACGCACGCGCTTCCCTCCAGCTCCACCATCCGCCACGGATTGTGAATTCAGCTTAACTAACCTAACTCGATTTCGCGGCGCACTGGGTCATATCGGTAAATTCAAGTTACTTGTCTTTCCGACGCTATGTCGCGTCTCTCAATTAGTCGGCGCGCAAGAAAGCTCCCGACCTTCTTTGGCGCGGAGACGAAGAGAGAGAGAGAGAGAGAGAGAGAGAGAGAGAGAGAGAGAGAGAAGGAGACACGCAGAGCGAAAGAGAGAAAGGAGAGAGAAAGAGAGGGCATGTGACTTCCAGAAGAATCACAATGAGCTACGGTAACGTCCCGCGTGGTTACGGTAAACTCTGCTCTGCACTCTCTTTTTCTCTCTTTCTCTCTTACACCTCTCAGGAAAACTTTTCGGTCCCGAGCGCGCGGAGGTTTTAGAAATTTTAACGCATGATATTAGCATTCCGGATATATTTGACCGCCACATAATTGCGCGTTCTTTTCTCTCTTTTTCTCTGTTCTCTTTCATTTTCTCGAGATAATCGGTTGAACTTCGCTTCGAGTTGCGCATTGCCGGTCCCGTTTCATCGATGAGCGAGAAGGGCTAAAAGTCGCGAATGTATCGCGCGAATAAAAGATAAGCCGCGCACGAACGACTCTTAATGCGCGCCAACAATTTATCTTAACTCTAAGGTAAAACGTAGATAAAGCCAATAGAGGAAGCTTCATAAGCTGAATGGTATTATGAATAATTAACAAACTGTCTCGGGGGGTGGTGGCCGTTATATAAATCACGTCTAATGGATTTTGTATAGCTCCCAATGCAATTGCCTTTCTCTACGAGAATCTCGCTCTCTCTTTCCCTCCCTCCCCCCTCCTGCTGTCTATCTCTTCCTCTGTCTCTCTCTCTCTCCAGTTCTCTTTCCGCGCTTACAAGCGCTACCTGGATGCCCGCACAATCCCCACGGTGAAAATTCCATCTCGCTCGAGGCATTGCTATTCCAGCGAACAAATTCCAGCGCCGCAGCAATTAAATTCTAAGACGGTGGCGCTGATGAATCGAGCTTTTTTTAATTACGGCCAACGAGTGCGGAATAAATTCTAACGAAGCTCGAGGCGTGTCCGACGATAGTACCCCCGCGGTATGTACATCGTCGTCGTCGGCCCGGCGACGTAACGTTCCGCCGACGGAACGTAGACGCATTCCAGACAGTGATTTTAACTGCGCCGTTTCTCGAAACATTAGGATTACTCCACGGCGCCGTCGCAGTTTAACGGCTTCCACGTCCGAAAGTAATTAGGTTAATTCCGCTAAAGGTTCACCGGCGACGTTGTTGCATCGACTGTGCTGGCCGCGCCGAAATTATCGGCAACTCCAGCGGAAAAATAAGATCAACTTGAAGGAAGGAGGGAGCGAGGAACAACGGGAAGGTGAGTCGGGAAAAATTAACGATTCCACGGGATCCTGCCGTCTTCTCCCGAGAAGGTCCCCGCGAGATATGAAAATGTTCCGTCGCGAAACACGCGCACCCATGCGCAAACAAAAACACACACCTGCTCACTCGCGGCACA